AATCCAACATTTAAATACATCAAGCAATAAGTGAAAATTTAAAAAAAACACAGACAACTTTAAAAAGTAAAATTGAAAGATATTAAAAAAGTAGTGTACAGTGCATAATGTTTAAAAGTGTTTTTACATGACTTATAAAAAATGATGATGCTTCCATTACATCAGTCCATAGTTATTTGGGGGGTGTGGGGCGCGTATTCGAAGAAAATTAAACCCCCGGGCGTTTATTCCAATTGGCCTTTTGAAGGGGTCGTTTATTCGAGGGGGCGTTTGTTCAAAGCATGGGCGTGTAATTGTCTCTTTAAAACATGATGGATCATAAGATTAGCCCATAAATTATTATTAGGCCTATTATAATCGTTTTTGCATTTTAAATTATTACGTTTTTTCATTTTCAACTGTGTCTGGTTTCATGTTTTTTAATTTTCTTTGCTAGTTATGTTTATTTTGTGAAAAATAAATAAGGTTCCCCTCCTTCCATGCATGGTGCGAATGGGCAGTGCGAGTAAAAAATAAATTAGGTCTATTCATTCATTATAGGCCTATTTGGGTTTTGTTCCTCAACAGGCACTTGTCTAGATAGATGCTATTTTATATTTATTAATAACTAAAAGATACATTTCACGACTCTTAAAGACCAATTAAATTTTGAAAATAGGACAATCTATCACCTGCACTTGCCGTTGATTGCTATGCCTACTGTGAGTGGAAACAGGTAACCTCGTCTCCAAAAACTGTACTGGGCCTAGGCTTATTTGCCATACTGATTTAGGCCTACTACTTCCATGCCTAGCTTAGGGAGATAAGGTAGGCCTAACCGAGTTTAAAGGAGGAAGGTCCCATATGAAAACAATGACAGCTTGAAATTGACTTTTATCTTCAAAATAATAATGTTAAAAGTAGTTAATTCATTCATTATTGAAATTGTTTTAAAAAATTGTACAAGTGTTAGAAGAAGCGTGGGTTTTTGTGTGCCTTGCATTGTTGGTACACGTCCCCCACGAATTACAGTCATGGCTCCCACGAATTGCATGCCTCGCTGACTCGCTGGCTCGCACTTTGGCAACTCTCCCAAAATGGCAACTGTTGCACCATCTCAGAGTTTGCCCACAAATCCACAGTGAAACACCCGAAGCACGTTAGCACAACTTCTATCAATGAGCCAGGGGGTTACACCAGGATTTGCCCGATGGGGGGGGGGGGGGGTTGGAGGCCCCGCCGGGAGGTACCCCGACGAGAGCAAAGTGGGCGTGGCAGAGCGTCGCTTGAAATTTTTTGAACAGTGTGCGACTACTGGGAAAAATAAAAATTCCCAAGATTCAGTCTAAAAAATCCCAAGATTGTTTTAAAAATCCCAAGATTCGCAAAATGAATGAATGGAAAAAAAAAAACAAAAGAACTTATAATTGACTATAGGAAAGGAGAAAATAATGTTGTATTATTTGTTGTTGACAATGTTAAGATTGAGACTGTTACTCATCATAAATTCCTAGGTTTAGAGATTGATAATAAGTTGAACTGGGGGGAGCAGTGTGATAAAATTGTTAAGAATGGTATGACGTGACTCCAGTTCTTAAGGAAATTGCGGTCATTCAATGTTAATACATGTATAATGAGCCTTTTATATTCTTCTTTTATGTATGGTTTGGTAATTACGGAAAAACGATTATAACAGACTACAGCGTATCATTTCTAGATGGCGGGAAATGACCTTTCTCGACTTTTGAGCTAGGTGTCAATGACTTTGTTCTTCAAAATTCAAGGTTTTCCCCCTCTTGAAAACGGTAAGGTAAACTTTCTCATTACAGTAAATAGGCCATGTGTGTTTACATGCATTTAAAAAAATGAGTAGTTGCACACGTATTCTTTTTCAATGAATCGATAAGCTCCAAAGAAAAGGGGGTGGGGGTTCTCCCCCGGGAAAATTTTGATTCCTAGATGGCGAAAAATGAGATTTTTCCCGACTCCTGAGGTGTCTTAATTACTTTTAAGTTCTTCAAAATTCAAGGACGTTTTCCCCTCTTGAAAACGGTCTGGTAATTTTTTTCCTATTGTTTTTACAGTAAATAGGCCTTATGTGTGAATACATACATAAACAATTTAAAAAAAATGAGTAGTTAATTACTTTTAATTTCTTCAAAATTTAAGGTTTTCCCCTCTTGAAAATTATTATAATGAATCAATGAACCCAAAGAAAGGGAGATTCGAGTTCTTCACGGGAACATGTTGATTTCTAAATAGTGGGCAATGAGCTTTCCCGACTTCTGAAGTATCTTTTAATGACTTTTAAGTTCTTCAAAATTAAAGGTTTTCCACTTTTGAAAACGGTCACTGGTTAATTTTGTCCCATTGTTGTTACAGTAAATAGGCCTTATGTGTGTATACAAACATAAAAAAAGATTGAGTAAGTTGCATATGTATTTTTNACTTTTAATTTCTTCAAAATTCAAGGTGCCCCCCCACCCTCTTGAAAATGATTCAATTAATCATTGAACTCCAAAGAAAAAGGTCCGTGTTCCCCCGGGAAAATTTCGATTTCTAGATGGCGGGAAATTAGCTTTCCTGACTTCTTAAATTTATTTTAATGACTTTTAAAAGTTCTTTAAAATTAAAGGTTTTTCCCTCTTGAAAACAGTCAGGTAAATTTTTCTCATTTTTTGTTTTTTGTGTGTATACATACATAAACAAATGAGTAGTTGCATGCGTATTCTTTTTGCCATGAATCGATAAATCTAAAAAAGAAAGGGTGGTGCGTCCGGGGGTCCTCCCCCTTGAAAATTTTGATTCCTAGATGGCGGGAAATGAGCTTTCCCGACATTTTAAGTGTGTTTTAATGAATTTTATGTTGTTCAAAATTCTAATTTTCTTATTGTAACAAAAAAAAAAAAAAAAAAAAAAAAAAATCAGCTCACGGGTCCTGAAAAGGTAGGTCTAGAATTCTTTTTCTTTTCCCATTTTTTTTTGTTGCCCAAGGGAGGGGTCAGGACCCATGACCCCCTCCCCCAGTGGGAATGTCTAATCTGAATTAAAATCATACACATACAAAATGACAGAGCAATTGCCTTTATTTTCTTTGTATAGCCTATTACACAGAAAATATTCCAGTAGCATAACTTACACTTCTGTGTTAGAAAAATTCAAAAAAGCGTTGATTTTTATAACATCTTTTTTTCGGGAGGTGTAAGGTGGTAGGCCTGTAAAGTATTTTTGACGGAATTTTATTGAACTTTTAATTGTCAAATTCAACACAATTAAAAGCATTTGCAAAGTATGAAACGGTGCAAGACCTCCTGGCATCTAGGTGCAATATTCTTATTATATTCATATCCGCCAAGTGAAACACACATCAAGAGATTTAGCTTAAAAATGCACGCACCTTATTATTTTTGGAAAGTGATTAAAATGACTATCAGAAAACTTATAGGTCTTTTTGAACAATAATCAACCCTCATTCACTACTGTCAACTGTGGTGTTATAAAGGTCATTAGCAGCCTATTTGTTCATTTATTGATAAATTAAACTTTTAATTGTCAAATTCAACACAATTAAAAGCATTTGCAAAGTATGAAACGGTGCGAGATCTCCTGGCATCTAGGTGCAATATTCTTATTATATTCATATCCGCCAAGTGGGACACACATCAAGAGATTTAGCTTAAAAATGCACGCACCTTATTATTTTTGGAAAATGATTAAAATGACTATCAGAAAACTTATAGGTCTTTTTGAACAATAATCAACCCTCATTCACAACTGTCAACTGTGGTGTTATAAAGGTCATTAGCAGCCTATTTGTTCATTTATTGATAAAAAAATTAATTTAAAATTTCATATCAAGATTTAATGACAATTTAACAAAAAACCCCAAGATCCCAAGGTTTGATTAAAAGTTCCAAGATCTTGGGATAAATCCCAAGCAGTGGTCACAGGGGTTTTGAACATGGTCGATCCAGGAAAGAAGCCCCCCCCCCCTCCTCCCAAAATATTGACATTTCAGTTTTTTCAAAGGCTTATTTAATCGATTTTAGAGTCTACTAATAGGCCTATGTAGAAAATACATATAATTTTTTCCCCGACGAATTGTGGTTTATCTTCCCGACGGGGGTGGGGGGAAGCTCTCCCCGAAAGGCCCCTTCCCCCGGTCCCCCGCTGCAATGAGCGGGGAATGAAAGGGAAATGTCGTTACTATGGGCCATCGATGGCCCTTTTAAATGTGTTGAATTTAAAGTAGGCCTATAATATTTTGTTTCATCTAAAGCCAAAGATTAATAAGTCTTCATAAAGCCATGGGCATGATATCTACCAAATCCTTTTACAGTTCATATTTTGATCCCCATTCCCAAGGTAAGTTAGAGAAAACAATCAACTTTATTTGATTTAATGATTGTTTCTTTGGTAACAAATCTAAATCAAATAAAATTAAATCAAGCATGGAGATATTTGTAGCAAATACGGTAATATAGCTAAGCTATAAAACATTTTTAAAATACCGTAAAATATGCCAATACATATACTATAGACTCATTAATAAATATTCATATACTGTTACGGTATTCGATTCGAAAAAGAACGAGATACATTAAATGTACTGAAATAAAAATGTATTATACCATATAATTTTGTACCATTTGTGAGATATTTATGTAATTGACCTTAGACATGCGCATTGGATATGCGCATTGGCAAATACACATTAAGTAATGTATGCTTATAAACCATAGCTTATAGCATATCAGTTTCAAATTATAGAAATACTTGATTTTTGCTTATTTCTACAATAAAAAGGTATGCCAACAACCCCACTCTCGATATCGTAAAAAAAAAAAACCACTTGTTTTTAATAATTTGTCCACTTTGTGGCCAAATACCAACATCGCCGCTGATATATATCCCATAGGGCTTTGGATTCAGTTGATCCGTCGGTACTGTCTGACGTCACATATTTTGTATCCATAAAACGATAAGAAAGGGTAGCCAACAAATCAAAAGCAAGGCGAACATCAGATCGGACGTTACGTACCGTCGAATCGTGTCAAAAATAATCGGCTGTGGCGTAGGCCGTGTTTACAAATAGAACATGAATCCAATATCAGTGATTTTCATCCTGCTGATGAGCGTTCAATTATCGGGGGCACAGTTTTTAGGTACGTTTGGAATGTTTTGATATGTTTTCACTCTAACCAACGTCTTATTACCAGGAGGTACTTGGATCAGTACCTTAGTGACATAATGAAGTGAATGAAACGGAAGACGCTGCTATTATTATATACCTTCGGTCAATGCGAAGGGCACAGCTAAGGTAGTGCATGACGGAAATTAAGGGATAGGGTGTTCTCACGGTTACAATCGTTAACTTCGGATTTGTTTATTCATTTAAGTTTAATGCTTAGCAATTTGATCATTTTTATAGGGGCTCCTCGAGGGTTTTGTAGGGGGTACTGAAGTAGGATCTATTGCCTTCAGTAACGGACCTGTAGGCAAATGCGTGAAACCATAAACACTTGTTATTAATGCGTGTTTGTTACTAAATGTATCAAAATAATATAGGCTTCATAATGGCACACACAAGAAGATTATTTTGTTCATGTTGTTGTCCTGGTTTATAAATAAGTTAGAAATAAATACTAGACCTAATTTTGAAAAAAAGCTTTGCCAATAACAAAAATGCGGTGCTTAGTAATAAAATAATTATATTTAAGAATAAACAGAATGTACATAATTATAATCGACACGTGAACAGTTTTAGCTCCAGGCCTCAAGTTAAGTTAGCGGTCCGAGCATAAGCAACCTAACTAAACACTATACTTAAGTCGCAGACCTCACGTACACTTTGTTTACAAGAACACATTTTGTAAGAACACTGAGGCTGATATTGCTTAAAAAATAAGCACAAACTGAGGCTAAGGTAAAATATCAAATGACATTTTTATGAAAAAAATAACAAATTGGGGCTGCGATAAAATCTCAAATTAGGTTTGAAAAGTGTGTGCAATAAGAACATTTTGAGCCTGAAATTGACCACTAAGTCTGGGAAAAAAATTACTGGTTCTTATAAACAAAAGTTGTACTCATAATAAAATAAATACCGGTAGACTAACAATAAGTGAATGTGCAAAAGAAGACATCAAAATGGGAATGCACTTTATCAAACTTTGTTGACTTCATTAGGATTACATAAAACCCCATCATGTTTGCTACCCAACTAAATTAATGGAATACCCAGAGGTCAGAATGAGACAGGGCACTCATTGTGTGGCCTTATTTATACCTTGAGTTCCCCATGATCGTACAATGAGCTTACAATTTAATTTCTAAAACTAGTGGTTTTAAAGACTGGAAGACAAACATTCAGCTTCCTAGGTCAACAACTATATCGATTTAAATTACTATTTCCACGAAGTACACAAGGAGAAACAATTGTCATCATTAAGGAGTATGCCTTGGGTTCCGTTTATACTTCCTTTGAAATAGTATCATCAACCTAAATCTAAATAATAATAATAATAATAATTATTATTATTATTAATTTTCTGAGGTCAGGAGTCACATACTGTGGAACCCCTATCGGGGAGATTGGACAGGAAAAATGTCCCCCTCATGGCGTCCCCAAGGGTTGGCTGTAGTGTGTCAAAAGGTACATTTCCCTCACTTCACGGCCAAAAACATTGTTTACTATGGTGTCCCCCTTAATATGGGTGTCCTAAAGGAGTGGTTCTACTGTATTTAAATACTTACCTCCATTGGTATGTACGAAGTTTCTAGTGAAACGCTATTATTTTACCTAATATAAACAAATTGCAATGGATTAGCGTCCCATCCCACAAAAATATCCTACAAACGCACAGAAACGAGGGATAAGCTCATGTCCATTAGAGCCTTAATGACGCCCCTGAAAGGATTTTGCTTACACTAATATGTCTATGAACATATTTGTTTTTCTTTTGTATTCATTAGATGCTCTTTTAACTGGTATGTCATGGACACTGAAGGAAACAAGGGTTCGCCCAGACACTCTAACAGACATGCAATTTCAAGTCGTTGTCAATGCATCATCCGAAAGTTCGGAGGTCCGGGGTACTGGTCTGTGGGAAGTAGTAGTATTTGGCAGCACCCACATTAAAGGCCGGGGTAAACGGTTCGACCCACGTGGAAATCTGTTGACCCCATCTCAACAAGCTACCCCCACGATTCCCGGTGGAAGTATGGTGTTTAAAAATGTAGTAACACCCTTCCGTCTTTCAAACCTAGGATGTTCAAAATACAAATATTTGTGTGTTGAATTCAAGCAGGGTGACGCACCTGACCCTGATTTCTTTTTCGCCTCCATGGACTTTGAGGACACCATCATCGTGTGCACTAACATTCCTTGTCAAGAAGGTAAATAAAGAAACACAGCCTAACACACACAACATGGGTCACTTGATTTACCTGTGACACCGTTTTATTAGAGTTTAGTCAACACTTCAGTGTGCATGCTGCTTGAAGTTATGTACTATATCAAAATATTTGCAATTGTTGAAACCATGGAAGTAAAATATAGATTCGAATCACGTCTCCATTGCTCTCACAATTGCGTAGAGTAGCGAATGCTATGTCAGTTATTTAGTTTTGATAACACCGTTAGCAAAGGCACCGAACAAGCATTTAAACCCCTGATACTCTTCATTCAAGTTGAATAATATTATTTTGATCATTTTGAACATTTTCAGGAATTGCATGATTCTTGTAATTTGAACATTGAGCCAAAAATTCTTAAAAAACATGGTTGAACGATCAATAAATGGATGATTATATGTATCGATCAATCCGATTAATGCAAAATACTCAATATGCACAAGAGTAGTTGAACAGCAATAGTTCTCGATGCACCACATAACAGAAGTCAAAATGGTACGCCCTCATCTTAAGAAATTAAACGACAAGAAGGGATTCCAGGGATCCTAATTCTGAAAAAAAAAAAAACCACATAGAGGGACAACTTTATTATTTTTTCCTTACACTGGTTGTATGGTACTAATTTTGCTATGCCGTGTGATTATAAGGCCCACTCTTTGTCGAGGAGATTATAATTCAAAACGTACTACAGTTAAACTTATGCATGACGTCACCATATGAAGCCACGCCTCCCTAGGCTGAAGTGGTTGTATTTAGGAACTACCCACCGAAAAGATACTTGTACAATCAACGATGTGATTTATATTTTCGATCAGTAGGAACAGGACAGAAAGACGTAATGTTAATAGCTATGTCGTGGATAGTCGATGCATATGTGAGGCAGGGAATACCCTCTGACGTCACTATTAGATCTTCGATTCAGATGTCTCCAAACCATGGTGGCGCAGAAGGGACAGACCTTTGGAGGTAAGTTACTATCACCAAAGTTTGTATAGACGTACCTCAACCGCTTTATATTTTTACATATGATCTTTAAAACATTCTTTTTTATTTAAGAGATAAATAAGTTTTCAATTTCCAATAAAACATATTGAAGATTTCTGTTAGGACAACACGCTATTAGAGGACCATAATATCAGCCCAAGCAGTATTGAGTCATGTTTCAGCATTTTAAAGAAATGTAGGAACAAATTTGACAGTCTCATACATGAAATGCTGTTTATTAGACAATTAAAACCAAGTCTGAATAAACAATGTGACTCTGTCAAAGCAAAGCTTTTTATCTAACACAGGGAATAATACTGTTATGAAATTTGACATTGTGGATTAGCTTTTTTCTATTGATTATAGTTGCTGTATATTCTATACTTCATCATTTGATCTTGAAAATGACACCATGATGGAGTCGAAACGTCGATCGTTTCTTTTTAGCGTTATTTTTATATTAAACATATTGAAGACCGTAACAAAAATATTAAGTGATTATTAGCCAAAATATAGCAACGTTATTACTTATGCGTCTATTATATATATTTTTTTCTATTCAAAGCTAATAGCTTTAATTGGAATATCATAAGTCAGCAATGTTAATAGACTCATTGGATTGTATAGTTTAAATTAGTCCATAACTGGAACCGCAGATTGAGTACGCACGCTACGAATCAAAAAATCAAACTATCCGCACAAACAATATAGTTAAATTTACTTATAAAATTTTATTATTAAATATATTTAGAATGGGACTGTTTATAAACTCACAAGAAGACGGAAAGGGAGACAGCCTCCCTCAGCGGCAAGACCAGATTTTAAATAGAACAGAAGCTTCGAAGAATGTTAGGCCAGGACAGAAATTGAACATTACTGGTACTGCCTCGATTGATCTCACAGGGGTCGGCTGCGGTAAATACCGATATCTTTGCATCGAATTTGGTAAAGGAAGAGATCCTCAGCCTAATGATTTTGGTTTCACTCTAGGCTCAGGAGAGTCATCAGTGATCTCTTGTAGAGAGTTGTCTTGCCAAGGTAAATTTCGCAACCTTACGAAAACGGAAAACAAATACATCATTATCATTATCGGCCTTCGTGTCTCAAACATTTTTGACAATATGTTGCAGACATGGGGTCCATTTATTACATTGAAAATATTACGTTTTCACAGAAATTGACCTCGTGTGACACGAGCTGAATTATGATCCTTGATTTCATTTTTTTCTGTAGATGATACAAGTCGTTCTACTGAGGGCGCTCGTGATGGTACCGTTTCAGATGGTACCCTGAATGATAATGGTCGAGGTACTAACGGAACATATAATCGTGGTGGTGGTGGTAGTGGTGTTGTTAGGAAAAAAGGAACTGATATGGGTGGAGGACGATGCGATGGCGGTAGAGGTGATAAAGGTGGTAGTGAAAAAAGTGAAAGAATTGGAGTTTTTGGTGGTGTTGGAAATGGAGGAGACGGTGGTGGTGATAGACTAGGTTATGGTGGAAATGGTGGTGGTGGAGGAAATAATGGAGGTGGGAGAAATGGTGGTTGTGGAGTTAATGGTGGACGTGGTGGTGGAAGAAATAATGGAGGTGGGGCAAATGGTGGTGGTGGAGTTAATGGTGGAGGTGGTGGTGGTGGTGGTGGTAACAGAAGGGGTGGTTGGGTAGGATATGGTGGTGGACTATATAGCGGTGGAAGATACGATGTTGGTAGAGAATATAGCAGACGAAATGAAGGCGGTAGTGGTGGGGGTCGAAGAGGTGGTGGTGGTGGTCGAAATGGCCGTGGTAGTGGTGGAAATAAAGGAGGAGTAGGAGGAAATGGTGGAGGTGGAATTAAAGGTGGTGGTGGTGGCGGAGAAGGAGGAGGAGGAGGTGGGGGTAGTGGAGGAGGAGCTGTCTCTTATACACATCTAGCCTGATAGTACAAATGTAGCTTCCCTAGAACTTCATCATTTCTCGGATGTGTCGGAAGCCGGATATGGCCAGTGTTTCTATTTACGAGTATTATACCGAGATGGTGGTGTGAATGTTTCATTTGTGACCGGCAAAGCTAGAGTGATGCCACTAAATAGACGAATTACCACACCTCGTTTAGAACTAACCGCAGTCGTGGTTTCCGCAAGAGAGTGCCTATTTGCGAAAGGAATTGAGACTAAATGGTGTTAAAGAGTACTACTGGACTGATAGCAAGGTGGTGATATGCTACCTGAAGAATGAGACAAAGCGTTTTAAGATTTATGTTTCTAACAGAGTGCAGTTCATACGTGATTTAACAAAGATGGATCAATGGAAGTATGTGCGCTCAGAACACAATCCCAGTGACGAAGGAAGTAGAGGCATGACAGCTGCCCAACTTGTCACCAATCCAAGGTGGTTGAACGGTCCAAAATTTCTATGGAACAGCAAATTTGAACCAAGTAAGGTGGCGGATGCCAACTATGATGACATAGAGGATATACAGTGAGAGAAACACAGCACCATGGCTGTAGATGTAATAGAAAACTTTGACTTTACTCAAAAGGTTTGACAGATATTCAACATGGGACAGGGCTTGCCGCTGTCTCTTATACACATCTAGATGTGTATAAGAGACAGGGATTACAGCTACTTATTAACTCCATGAGATTACCTGAGATTAAAATTCTATCAAGATAGCGATGATGATAATTCTGTTGGTAGGCGGATGATAATACTGATAATCATTTAGGTGGTCAGACGATTATTATAACGATGACGACGATGAAATATTTTTGACAATCTGTAATTTTTAAGAAAACTTTCTTATGAGCTAATAAACTTCAAATATACATTTAAATTTTAAAATCGCTTACTTCGTATATTAATTCAAATAGAATTGATAACAATGATTTGTTTTTGTAAATATTCACAAATTAGGGATCTTTATATCATTAGAAGTTTCAAATGATTAAAAATGCAACAATGAGGATGAATATTGTTGACCATGAAGATGATAACTACGATAACGACGACGATAACGAGGACGACAACGACGATAACGAAAATAATGGTGACAGTAATGAATATTTTTTTATGGCTATAACTGTGATAATTAGAATGAAAACGACGATAACGATGATGATAATCTAATGATATTGATGATTAAAACGTAGTTGACTTGAAGTTGACGAGGGTGAATCATTATTAAGGTGATGACAATTAAAAAGTATAAGGTCTGGATTGAAGCAAAACTATCGTAATTTGATAAATTTAACTCCGATCAATAATATATACATCGTACACTCTCGGTTCTTTTGATGAAAATTCATTATATATTTTGTTTTATCATTTTAGATTTTGCCTTCGCGCTACCAATCGATACCATACAAAAATAAAGTTCCATTCCAGTTCACCAATATCAGAGGGACTCAGGACATGAGGGGGATGTATTGTACGGATTTTCGTTATTTGTGTGTTGAGTTTGGAAAAAACCGTAATCCGATCCCGGACTTCAACTTTTATGCTGGAGATTCAGAAACGCTTACGTCATGTCAGGGGATTCCATGTGGTATGTTCAAAATAATCTTTTTTAAAATTTAATTTGTTTTACTTCCGCTATTTTATGAGGCTGAAGCACGGTTTCTATAGAATCACTCACCCTATCGGGCATGCCCCCGCGAACGTTTTGTGCTCTAGACGCCCGAAAATAACATTTGAGGCGTTCTGGGCTGTCATTTTTTTCTTTTTCTTTCTTTTTTTAATTTTTAAAAATTGTTTTCCTTCCCAAAAAAAAAAGGGGGGGGGCGGGCCACCCCCCCCCCCCCCCATCCGCCCCTGCAGCTTAGCTTTAGAGAGCACGGCTGAGTTTTAGTCGTGTGAGAAAGAGTCTTACGACTGTCTCTTATACACATCTAGATGTGTATAAGAGACAGGAGACAGGTGAGAATAAACTACCAAGCTACCGAATCTTGGAGTGGGATGTTTATTTTAGGCCTTGATAGGATGATATTCTAGTAATCTAGTAGGTTTTCTATTAATTATATATTTTTCTAATGGACCTTTCCGCTAAGCTCCGCCCCTTGGATATTGTTGCTAAGGTCCCATAAGTCGGCAGTGTTATAACATACGCAAACACGGGCGTTTGTGACAACACATGAGGCCAACTCAGACAGCGTCGTCGTACGCAACGCAGCCCGACGCGATTTGTTGTCGCGTCTGGTCTGTGTGAGTTAAACGCAGACACGATGGTGTGCGTCGGGGGCAGTCGCGTCGTAGAATATTAAACATGTTTAATATTTCTCACGACGGCTTAAGACTGTCCCCGACGATAAATCGGGTCGGGCTGCGTTGGCCGACTCTGTCTGAGTTGGCCTTAAGACGCGCGTATTCCTAGCGCTGTTCTGATTAGTCAGTTGTTAAGTTTGATTGACATTCCGGAAAGGTCTATTACAGAAAACCCCGAGGAGAGAACTAGCTCGAGTAGTGCGAGTGGAGGGGATAACAGCGGTACAGGTAGTAATGGAGGTACAAGTGGTAATGGAGGTACAGGCGGTAATAATGGTACAGGTGGCCATGGAGGTACTGCTGGTCACGGAGGTACTGCTGGTCATGGAAATACACCTGGAAATACCGGAAGTTCAACTGATATGCAACAAAACCTAGGAGGGGGAGGAGAACCAGCCGTCGGACCGCCTACATACGAAGGAGGTAAAATTGATGAAGATCAAAATGTTCATAGCAATCTTCACTTACAATTAAATGAAATTATAGCCTCACAATTGTGTTTCTAAACCATAACAATTTTACAAGACGAAATTATTAAAGAGAAGCAATTTTATTTTTACCGAAAATAGAAATCTTTGTACTGTACAGTATTAGCAAAAAGTGAGATCACCGTGTGAATTGATCAAACGTTTCTATGTTTTTCATATTTACATACTATATCGATGATAAAAATATCAGAAGCTAACGATTGAATAATTATTCATATAACAAGACAATTTCAAATTTCTGTAGATGTTGTAACCGCTTGCATCGTGGCAGGAATTACAATTGATGTAGGAGAGACGAAGGCTATCACTCCATGCCAAACCTGTCGATGTAGTAGCGGTGGTGTTGTTATTTGTGTGGAGATGTCATGCTTACGACCTCTGACCTGCAATAAACCTGTGTTCATTGCTGGAAAATGTTGCGCAACTTGTTTAGGAGAAGATGCACAACCACGAGGTAATCGTCATGGCAACGACATAATATTATCCCACAGAATGTTTAAGATTATTCAAAAAGTACAAGTAACTTAGATTACTTGTCTGACATGCCGAAACCAGAAAGACGTCCAGAGTGAGGTCTTTAATGCAAACCCATTGATATTCAAAAAAAAAAAAAAAAAAAAAAAAAAAAAAAATCAGAAAAAAAAAAAAAAAAAAAACTCAGAACCCAGCAATATCAAATTTGATATCAAATTATCAAACTTAAGGACCCCGCTCTTCATCAGCCACTTTACTCTCTAAATGCAAAATAGTCACCTGCAATCTAAAATGCTAGCATACCTACAGAGATAATTTCAACTTCACTTTTAATATTTAATTTTAAGAAGAAATGAGTGAAATTTTATTCTAAATATAGTTAATTTTACATTTCTTTGTTTCTGTCTATTTGTTTCACACAATTGGAGTAGTTACTCGAAGGCATTCTTAAACTCCTCTTCTCTGTTTTGCATTAGAGAGTCATGGTTCCCCAGCTTGCTTAATGAATAATAAAGTGAGATAATAATAAAGTAAAATGCAATCAACCGAGCTCCACCTAATAATATTAGTGGCCGGTTATCGCAACATGCAGTGGAAATAATTGCTAGAATTTAAATTGAAACAAAGTATACCAACTCACTTAAAATGTGTTTAATTAAAGACGATTATAAGAATAAAAGAAAACGTCAAGTCGAGCTCGTGAAAATGTAATGTAAAAATTCACAAACTTATTTAAAATTAAAATCCCCATAGATAACTTACCGTGTATTTTCGATGGGCAAATAGTGTTGCACAACCAGGAGTTTCGAACTAGTGAGTGTCTGCAATGCACTTGTCAAGACGGATCGATGACTTGCATATACACGTGTGTTGAGACATCTGGTTCCACTGGAGAAACTGTGACGTTGTTCGTTTTTCGAAAATTAGGAAATAATTAGCTGTAGATGATCGAAAATGACACTCTAGTAAAATTCATCGTCATCACATCAACTTTATATAAGCTAGTTAAATGATGTTTTACCAGCCATTTGCAGCAAGCAAATCTAATTAGACCTAATGTGATGTACTGTGATGTACTAAAAACATTGTCTTGGATGTATTTACTTTTGGCGTACCTACTTCACAGCCTATAGTCCACACCTAACGGGCTGAGGTGGGAATATTTGGGGAAATACATGTAGATTGCCAGGAATGACAGTCTTCTATGATAAAATTCATCATCATCTAATTAATCGCTGTGGTATTCCATTGAAAATAAAACTCAATTGTCTTTGATGTATTTTTAATTTACTCTCACTGTGCCGAAAACTATTATTATTATTATTATTATTATTATTATTATTATTATTATTATTATTATTATTATTATTATTATTATTGGTATTATTATTCCCTATCAGTGATAGAATACCGGCTGCACAAGTCATCAATGCAGTTCATTTCAACAATTTTCAGGCATCTTGTTGACTTATGAAATTATTAAATTGCTGACGAAAAGTGAGGGGACCAACCCCCTTAAAAATATATCGGTACGCCCTCCTGTCCCCTTTGATCATGGATTTTTGGGGATTTTTGGAGGGGCGTCCGCTTCCATTTGAGATTTTTTTTTTTGGAATTAGTAGACGTCTAGACGCTCCTGGATGACATCTGAAAAGAGTTAAGCTTAAAATAGAAAGTGTATGTTTTAAGAGAGTATACATATATACTTGAGAAGCACACACAAGACGAGTGACCGTTTTTTTTACAGTCATCGAATTGGGGTGGCTAGCCACCCTATTCACCCCTTCTAGATCCGCCACTGTATGGGGCCTAAGTATTACCGGTATTTATTATTTTTAAAATTAATAAATGCTAAAATTGCATACAATATGAATTCTTTGGACTTGGTTGATCAGCTTTAGAGCTAGATCGGTCATTGCTGTTCCGATATTATAGTGTCAAAATTCCAAGTTAAAGTTTAAGGAGTTTATAAAATGATATCTGCATATTTGCAGGTTTTAAAAGATTATATGTAGATATTTGTGTGTTTGCGTTGTATTTAATGTAACCTTTTACGTTTATTCGAAAGGCAATATATTTAAAGAATTTTTTTTTTTTCAAGCTCGTTTGACTGCTTTTGTTATCGGAACTGAAATACTCAGCCCGCCTCCAGTTTACCAAAGGGATATAAATGTATTAAAAATAAACGTTAGGGTGGAATTCGACAACGAACTGAGTACCAGTATTTCCGGGGACAACATTTGGAGTCTTCAAGCTTGGGGGAGTCTGAAGGCGAACGGCGGAGGGCCAAAACTGAGTTACACGAAAAATGCACTGATGCCGTCTCATATGTCACAAGATTTCACAGTGGACGAATCATTCGTATTCAGAGACATTCCGATTGTGCTTAACATGTCGAGTAAAACGTGCAAACAGTTAAAATACGTTTGTGTGATGCTTCAGAAATCAGATAACACTCCATTTGAGTTCATACTGAAGAAATCTTTTTCGAAGGCAACTATGAATTGCCAGAGACTTACATGCATAAAGTAGAATCGATCAATCAATTAATCGACTGGCCAGCCGATCGATAAATCAATCAATCAATCACAAAATGTATCTATGGATCAATAAAAAAAAATCAATCAATCGATCGATCAGGCGGGTGAACAAATGTTAGCGTATTTTGGCTTGTGCCAAGGACGCTGTGGGGTCCAAGGTAACCTGAAAGGGGTGCGAGTGCAACCCCGAAAGCTCTGACAATTTAAGTGTTTGGGAGGCTTATTTAATCAATTTCAGAATCTTATAATGCGTAAAATTTCTATTAGCTCTATTTACTATTTTCATAATGATCTGATATTACTGAATGTTCAGCATCCAAATTTATTCTCAATTTAATATTTCATTAAACTACTAGTGTAGGCCTATCTTGCTGTGGGGTCCAAGGTAAACTGAAAGGGGTGCGAGTGCGACCCCGAAAGCTCTGACAATTTAAGTGTTTGGGAGACTTATTTAATCAATTTCAGAATCTTATAATGCGTAAAATTTCTATATAGCTCTATTTACTATTTTCATAATGATCTGATATTACTGAATGTTCAGCATCCAAATTTATTCTCAATTTAATATTTCATTAAACTACTAGGCCAAATTTATTCTCAATTTAATATTTCATTAAACTACTAGGCCAAATTTATTCTCAATTTAATATTTCATTAAACTACTAGACCAAATTTATTCTCAATTTAATATTTCATTAAACTACTAGGCCTATCTTGTAAATTAAACTACTGTAGATTTATTGTTGCATTGTCTATTTGTATAGCTTAAATGAGTTGTGGAGGCCACTGAAAGACACTCTAGATAGTCATTTTAGATTGAATAATATGCCAAATTGATATAGGCAAAAAATACCATAGTTTATATATTATATAGGTAATATATGCTTATCAGTCACTTAATTTACTTTTCTTTGATTGATATTTAGCTAAAATTTGACTTTAGACAGGCCAGACTAGGCCTAAAAATACAGTGAAAATTTGCATTATAGTCAAACTATAATAATAAAACACATTGAATTAAAAAAAAAAACAATAATTGACAATCAAATATAAACGCAAAGGTATTAAAATAAATGGATGATCGCCAGAGCAAAGGCAGCCACAGCAGGGCCGATGGCCATGTTTAAAACGTCTGAACTGCCCCTCCGAATTTTTTAAGAGTGCCTAATTTAGTAGAGTGCCTTAACGTCAAAATATGGAAGATGATCACGGATGACAAAACTTTAATTTTTGGTAAGAAAATCTTATTTTTGGGGTAAAAAATTGCATTTTTGGGAAAATATACGGTTTTCAATATTTGGTATATTTGATTTTGCTTTTGCTAGTCATTTTAGGGGGAAAATCAGTTAGTAGGCCTAGCTGATAGCCTAGAAAGTACTAGCCAAAAATATAACAACAGTCATGTGCATTACTTCAGTTAGCAGTTCATCACCGGAAGCTCAATTTGATGACCCGTTATCAGTTTCTTTTTGACATTTTCTGAATGTGTGATTATCAAAACCATCCTCGTGAGTCTCTTCCATTACAAATTTTAAACAAAAATTCTCCGCGCGAACAATATTTTATTTTCAAACAGAACGCCACCACTTTGTAGCTAGAGGGAACAATAATAACGATTTCAGTTTTGAGACTAAGTTTACGATGTTGCTTTTTAATATTAAAATAATTTTAGGTCTTAATTGAAGCTGTCTCTTATACACATCTTAGTAATTGAAGTGGATAAAAAGGGAAATAAATGTAATTATTTATTTATTTAAAGCGAGTCGGAAAAGGAATAGAATTTCATTCTTAATTTGCATATTCAACACATGTATATTTTCCAATTCACTGACCGAAACAATTTTAATATCAGACTCAATGCGTAAATTACATATATCGTCAATGTAAACTAGGGCCATACGCTACGTTGAAGCGTTCAGTTTCCTTGTGTTGCACTATTACGTAAAATCCAATGCTATTGTATAATTACATTACTGTAATATGTAGCTCTACTACGTCACTTAACAGCATTATTGGCCTGTGCTAATTGGTCATTCCTGTATAAATCACTGTTTTGAATCAAATATTGGTAGGGTAAACATATGAACATATATCAACAAGTTATTTCCCTATACTGCATTCACACTAAGAAAAATATATACTGTAAGCCTAAAATCGGCTATGCAGATTCTAAATTATCAGGCCAAAGTTGTACACAAGAGGAGTGACGGATCCAGGAATTCAAAATAGAGGGGGGCCCAAGGGGGAACTTTAGCAGTTGGAGGCTCGAGGCCACTGCAGCCCACCATGGTTGGGGCTGAGGTAAGAAAAATTATGATTATGGCACCTCTAGATGGCCGGCAGTGGCACTCAGAATTTGAATATAATTTTCTTTCCCCTTTCTCCCCCCCCCCACTTTTTTTTAAAAAATAATTTTGAAAAAATAGGGGGGGGGGGGGCGTGCCCCTTTCAATCCACTACTGGTGATTGTGCTTTTCGTGTACATTTTCCCTCCGTCTCAATTTGGTTCTTATTTTTTAAGCAGTTTCAGCCTCAGTGTTCTTACAGAATGTTCTTATAAAAAAGTGTAATAGCCAAAGTTAGCTTGGACCCACAGATATTAGAATTTTTTTTTAGATAGGTTGACTGACAGAAAAGAGCTTTGATTCCAGATATCGAATCAACATATACAGCAATGGCTTTAGAAGCATTTAAACTAGTTAATCTACTTTTATCTGATACTGATAATCAATTTCGACAATATTTTTGAATGTTATAGTCTTGCACAATGCCTCATTCATGAAACTACTTAGTACCGGGTATGCGATTTGACTCATGCGATGTCTGTGGTTCCTGTTTAGATTTATTAAGACACTTTTGCACTTTCGCCCAGTATCCGAGTGTATTTGGGTTTTTGAAACCATTTGGGCCGCCGTTGTGGATGCGAGCGAAATCTTCACACGTTGGCTGATGACCAAGGCGGCTGGATATTGCGTAACGGGCCATGTAACCTTGCACAGCTCTCTCACTGCAATCGAAAGTTTTAGTACAATTTTTCCAGCCTGAAAAGAAGAAGGCATCATTACTAAAACTAAATAAAATATGCGCGTTGTGTCCTTTTAGCATGGCTGAAAAGCATATTAGCGTGGTCTAGAGAGGGACTAAGTGCACATCATTCCAAAACGACAGAATCTGAAATGAACTATCATCAGTATAACCACCTACTATTGTGAAAGGTGCAATGGGTTCTTAACCTCCTGTGAAGTCCTTATATCGGATCCGGAGAAGACTTGATTCTACCAAGCGAATCCTGGGCGAGGTGCGCTCGAGCCAGCGCTGATGGGAAACTTTAAAGCTGTACCGCTCGGCCTCCCGACTTGCCCACATGTAGGCTGTTGACCAAGCCACCTGAAGAATGCGTAAAACCGGCCATGTTACAGCCAGTTAAGCCGGGCACTCACTGACATGAACCAGACGGTCGTCGCGTCGCCCACGCGATTCTATGGAGAACGCAACGCGACGACGCACGCGCAACAGATCGTTTTTAAAGACGATCTGTTCAAACTGCCACCGACAATCAGCAGACGGCGTCGTGTCGTCTAGCGCTCACAGGGAGCGGAGTTGAAGTCGTCGGCCGACGGTCGTGCGATCATCGTCCGACGCAATGATTTCCCCCCGGTTTTACGTAACTCGGTGCTGTGTGAACGCGGGTAGTTCAAACTAGAGCAATTTAGACGCATTACGCAGACGCAAACAATGCTACTCGTACAGTCACTGCAGCAGTCATTTTTTGGTGTGAACAACCACTTGAAATCAGGCACGTAACGTATTATCAACCACTGTGGTTGAAGTCTCGAGCCGTGAACTTATAAGCACACATGCTCAACGCTATTTAACTTCTAATATAAGTATAGTCATTTTTCCTGATTTTGATAATTGTTACAAATATTTTCAATACAATTCTATTTTATTGTGCACAAATACCATCAAGGGCCAATATCCGCTAGGAATTACATTTACAAATACTGTAGGCCTAGGCCTACAATACAACGTCAAAAACAAAACAGATAACACAACAAAAATATGATAGACCTATATATATACAATGTGAACATATAAATCAATTTCCAATAATTAGTCAAATTGGCAGGAATGTCGATACTCACTTCCATCTAGGCTGCCTCCCTTCAACCTTGCATCAATCCAATACGCCTCCTTGATTTGGTATGGGCCGCAAGACAAGGACCCAACGTCCATGCTGCACACTGGATTAGGCATCTGACAGTTGGACTCCACGATACAAATGCATTGCAGACAGTCAGCAGGAACAGTCCCTGCAAAATGTGCGACGTCTCTAACGATTATGCATACAATTAAATTATAATTTTAAAGATTTTACATACAATATGTATATAGTATAAGCAAATAGATCAATAATAATATATTTTATTTTTTATTTACATTATGTTTACAGTGCTACGCAGCAAACCTAATTTGATATTATATATATATATATATATATAT